TTCCAACCTCAAATTATTCTGCGATATGCAACTTCCTTTCTGTTTGTTGTAAACAGCAATGTATTGCTACAATCAAACAAGTTAAAAAGCAGCTTTCAGCTGTTGGGTGTGTATACACTACTGTAGGCAGACTCCTCATTGGTTACTATGTATTCTTTAACACTTTGCACTACCAGTGCCAACAAAGTAGAACAAGTTACCTTCAGTATTTCAAGCTTTATAGGACTACAGCATTCCAATGCAACATCTCTCAACATTTTTCAACACTGCTATTTTCATTTATAAGTGTGACATTGGGTCTCTTACTAACAAATATTGGCATTATGTTGTCTGCTTGGCTATTAAATGATGAGTATAGGCAGGATATAGAGCCTTTAACCTGTTGTCGTCCAAGTAGCAAAACTGTGGGTTTAACCACTTCAATACCGGGCACTTTTACCCCCTTCCTGCCCAGGCCAATTTTCAGGTTTCAGAGCTCTCACACTTTGAATGACAATTGCGCGGTCATGAAACACTGTACCCAAACTACATTTTTATCGTTTTGTTCACACAACTAGAGCTTTTTTTGGTGGTATTTAATCACCACTGGGGTTTTATTTATTGCTAAATTAACAAAACAAGACCGAAAATGTTGAAAAAAATCCCACATTCTTCTTTGTTTCTGTTATAAAAGTTTTCAAATAAATAATTGTTCTTCATAAATTTAGGCCAAGATGTATTCTGCTACATTTCTTTGGTGAAAATAACCCAAATCAGTATTTATTATTTAGTCTGTAAGAAAGTTATAGAGTTCACAAACTACGGGATATATCTGAAAATTGATCAATCCTGAAGTACTGACAGCCAATCTAATTTCTTGAGGTCCAAAAATGTCAGAACAGTACAGATATCCCCCAAATGACCCCTTTTTGCAAAGTAGACAGTCAAATGTATTTCATAAGAGGCATGGCAAGTTTTCTGAATTTGTAATTTTTTTGTAATAATTGTTTGGAAAATGAAGAAATGAAAAAAATTATTTTCACATTTTTTTTTTTACATACTGTCACCAGTGCAGTACAGCGCTATCATATAACTGGTGTGGCGGTGATCAGGGACACTGACTGTTGAAAGTACAAAAAAAAAAATTAATTTTTTTTTTACATTTTTTAATTGTTTTTTATTAAACGTTTTTCATATTGTTTCCTGTGACACAATACAACGTACATTACAGAGGAATGGTATGTCGTCCACGAAGGAAGCCTTTGCTAAAGCCCATGCATAAAAAAAGCCTGCCTAGAATTTGCTAGGGCCCAAACTGAAAAAAGAAGAAGACTACTGGGACTCTGTACTCTGGAGTGATGGGACCAAAATAAATGTTTTTGGAACTGATGATTTCAAAACTGTATGGCGTTGCAAAGCTGAGAAGTACAAAGAAAAATGCATGGTGCCTACAGTGAAACAAGGCGGTGGCAGTGTCCTTCTGTTGGGCTGCATAAGTGCTGCTGGTGTCGAGGAGCTGCATTTCATTGATAGTATCAGTAATTCACAGATGTACTGCTCTATATTGAAAGAGAAGATGTTACCATCACTCCGTGCCCTTTGTTGTCGTGCACTTTTCCAACATGTGATCCAAAACACACATCTAAGGCCACTGTTGCATTTCTGAAAAAGAACAGGGTGGAAGTGATTCAGTGGCCAAGTATGTCCCCTGATCTGAACCCAATCGAACACCTATGGGGAATTCTGAACAGACAGGATGAGCATCACTCTCCATCCAGCATCCAGGCTCTAAAAGAGGTCGTTCTTGAAGAATGGAAAAAGATAAATGTTGAAATATGCTGCCAACTTTTTTGTTCCATGCCTAGATGACTTGGTGCGGTCCTTACACATCATATTGAGGACAATCTGTAACTATCACCCACAATTACCAAAAAAATACTCTAAAGTCTCCTAAAGTGTACCCATAGTACGAGCTACATGGGGTGGCTGATATTCACCTTTAAATATGCCAGTTGCTTGTCTGTGTTTAGTTTCTATACATCTGAGTCACAGACCTGAAAACCATTGCTGGATTTATAAGGGGGCAAAAGGGGCAACTGCCACAGGTCCCTTGACAGATGGGGTCCCCCACTATACAAAAATAATAGAAAACTATTTTTAAAAAAATTATATAAAATGATAAAAAAAATAAGTAAGAATATAAAATTATAAAATATATAATACCAATAAAAAAACCGCTCTCTTTATTAAATGCATCTTGGAAAGTGATATTTTGCCTGCCATCCTCTGTAAAAGATTTTGCTCTGGATTGTATCATTTTAAAAAATGAATTTTGGCAGCTCAAGTGAACCACACATGGAGTGCTTACACTCTTTAGAGGGTGGCCTATGACTGCATGTGTGACCTCAAAATTACACTGTGTCATGCATTTTAAAAATGTGTGACTGTCATTGAAAATGTAAACCAACTCTGTGTATGAGGGTCCCCCTGAACATGAAGTGCCCCATATCCCTCAAGGTCTAATTCTGGCCCTGCCTGGAACAAAAAAGTAGCCAAAAAAACTTGGCAACAAGTCAAAATTACCTTAAAATTGATACTAAATTTGTTTTTTAATCCTTTTCAGGTATATATTCTTTTTTTGTGATTCCTTTAACAAGAAATTGCATTATACAGTCATATGCAGGAGTAGGTTATAATGAGGTCATAAAAGTAGGCAAGTATCAAAATGAGTGGTTATACAAGAAAGTCTGCACAGCAACAATGAGAATTCAAGAAGTATCATGTGACTACCTGCAAAAACAGAAGACTCAGAAAGAGAGAACCTCCGACGTATACAGATAAATTGCAACATAGCAATGCAACTATGTTTAATAGGAAATAAATTAAAAATATCTGGGTTGTCAGAGGGGCCCCAGAGGCCACAGAAACCCAATCAGGACATGCAACCTAATGGACAAAGTGTAATTGCCCAGATAACTACAGAAACTGCAAGGGATATATCTCAGAACTTCATAAAGGGTACGGAAGGAGAATAGGGAAGGTAAGGAAAGAGGGCAGAGAAGGGGAAGAGGTTAAGTAAGAAAGGAGGCGATAGGAATAAAGCAATTTCTCTTGCCCGAGACCACACAAAAACGGGCCCAAAGGGGCTTAGCTGGGTTGAAAGACCTCCTGCATATAGGCATCGGCGTAGACAAAATATTGCCACAAAAGGTCTCATCCTGGTTATGTACAGTAGCTGTGAGGCCTACCATGTCCCTGAATTCATTGATTTTGAAAAACCAAAAAGACTTTGAAGGCTGATTCACAGACCTCCAGCACAAGGGAATGCACGCCTTCGCCATGTTCAGCTGGATTGTAAGGGAAGGCATGCCACAAAAGACCCCGCTAGGTCTAAGTTTGTCAGGTGATTAATGGCACTGGCCACTGCTTGCCAAAACAGTTTAATTTTGGCCAATCCCAAAAATTGTGTAGCACCATGCCTCACCTGGCACCACATCGCCAGCGTGAGTCTCACACTTCAGGTATATGTTCTTAACCGAAAAATGGTACCCTCTAGTGCTCTAACCTTCCCCCAAATCTCTTTTTAATTTTCTTTTTTGCTGCAGTGATCTGACTTCTTTTTAGAGGGTGGCTACATTTGTTCCCCATGGTCCCACTGTATAAAAAAAATTGTAGCTCTCTTACAACCACTTCATTTCTATGTATGTTGCCAATCAGTGATTCAGAAAGTACTGAAGCCAATGCATCAGCCTAACAGCCAAGCAATTAAAATTCTAAGAAGTAGTGGTCATTAATGGCTGCCTAAATATTTGTCTCTTAACAGTATTCCTTTAACAAAAGGACGAGCAACAGTAAAATTCATAACTAATCATTCGTAATTTGTGACCCAAATGCAAAGAACTTGGAGCGTTGCTCAAAGCACTATAAAACCTCCCCCTGCAGTCCAAGGCACAGATCAGATGCAGACATTCAGACAAGCTCATCCAGGCTAAAAGAAACAGATTGAAAGACAGAAGGTGGAAATGCCACACCTGGAACCCAGCCACTATATAAAAAGGTAAAGACACGGCTTTAGCCTGAACTCCTCCTGGCTATGCTCCTCTAACATGTCAGAAGAGCATAACCGGGAGGAGTTCAGGCTGAAGCTGTATCTTTACATATCTGTATAGTGGATGGGTTCCAATGTGCAGCATTTCCACCTTCTGTTTTCCTAATCATTCATAATGCCACGTTTACCAGAAGAACCTGTTTTTCGAAGATTAAGCTAATCCAGAACCTAATCTGCATTCTTGTTCCAGTATCTTTGCAAGAAGATTTTCCTTTAGTTTAATGAATGAGATGAAGCTTTGTTGACTTCCATCATCCAATCATGTGCAAGTAAAAATAATGTTTTTTATTTTCTTCATATGTGATTGAGTATTTTTTTGCAAAGTTAAAATATAACGAAGGGCAAAACTTTTTTTATTTTTTTTTAATTTTTAGATAGAGTGCAGAGGGATTAGAACGATTTTCAGTTGTTATCGCTGTATGTGCCCCCATCAGGGAAATTTACCCTCTTTGTTTGTCCTGTTAACCTTTATCATTGAAAGTAAAAGAAAATCCCAAATTTTGGGTTGTCCCCAGGAAAGGGGCAATCATCATTTGGAAATACTGTCATATGTATATTTAACTGATTTGTAAGTATTAGGGTCCCTCTGCTGACCTTTGAGATTGGAACTACTTTATATATTACAAGATACCATTAGGTATGCTACATACTTGATGTTTTACCTTGCCGATATTATACCATATTTTTTGCTCCATCAGACGCACTTTGTCCCCCCCAAAAATGGAGGAAAATGTATGTGCGTCTTATGGAGTGAATATGGAGCGGTCGGCCTGGCATTCCCGCCGCCGTGTTAGAATACTGGGTCGGCCGCTCGGCTCTTCTGTACAGCAGAACCTGCTCCTCGGTCCAGCGGTGTCCTCACTGTCTTCTCTCCCCGGCACCACCATCTTTAGTGTGAGCACCCCACAGCCGGGTGCCCACTGAGCATGCGCATGCCCACTGCACTTTGTGAATGGTCTGGAAGTCTTCTGGGACCTGTCACATGTCCCAGAAGATGGGAAGGGAGGACAACTCCGCGGGCGTGGGAACAGGTAACTGTCAAATTCGGGTACCCACTCCCCCCAGGTCTGCAGTCTCTGGTCATCTCCTGTACTATGTCCACAGTCTCTCTCCTGTACTACGTCCGCAGTCTCTGGTCATCTCCTGTACTAAGTCCGCAGTCTCTGGTCATCTCCTGTACTACGTCTGCAGTCTCTGGTCATCTCCTGTACTGTGTCCGCAGTCTCTCTCCTGTACTACGTCCGCAGTCTCTGGACATCTCCTGTACTAAGTCCGCAGTCTCTGGTCATCTCCTGTACTGTGTCTGCAGTCTCTGGTCATCTCCTTTACTACGTCTGCAGTCTCTGGTCATCTCCTGTACTATGTCTGCAGTCCATTGGTTCAGAATATCTTTTTTCTTGTTTTCCTCCTCTAAAACCTAGATGCGTCTTATGGTCAGGTGCATCTTATGGAACGAAAAAAATACGGTACATACACCTACTCCTGAAGAAATGAACCAAGAGTCACGAAACGCGTTGAGTTTTTGGATGCAATTTTAATGTAATTATGTACTGACATTTGGATTGTATATGGTCAATGGTATATCCAATTATGTATGAAAGGCATCATTATAGATTTATTACAAATCAGCTTGTTACCATTTTATCCTCTTTTTGTATGAGAAGTTTATTCATTTATTAAAAATGAATGTTGGAAGCTAGTTATTTGTTGGTTGTGTGTGTTGTGCCTCATTTAAAGTCCCAGGGCAAATAAATTGGTTGTATGGACATAAGATCAGATCACATTCTATTTTTGTTATAATGTTAATTGAAAGTAAAGTTCCGCTTTTAAAAAATGGGGGTTTAATATTACTTTAAGCTAAATTCTCTTGCAAAGTAAACACCCTTTTTGCCTATATTGAATCAACTCCTTTGGATCAACTTAACAGCTTGGAAAAGTACATTTTTTAAAGGAGAATTTTTAAATGTAAGTCTATATATTTTCTCAGAATCAGGTTTCTTTAAAAATTACTTTTCCATTTTAATCTACAGGTGCTATAGTATTTTAAAACATAATCATATTTCCTATTATTAAAGGAACCAGTCTATCCGCCTGAGCTACTGATGGAGGATAAAACTGTCCATAGCAAAACCTTTTGTTCTCTTTCATGGAATCCTGTCAGTAGAATATTATATGATAGTTTTTACAGTAAATGTTATCAGCTATCATTTAGATATAGAATGCCGGTTTTACATTTAACTGACATTTCTTCCCCGAGAAGTGGAAAAAAAAAAAATCAAATGAAAAAGGTAAGCCCGCACTATTATAACAATTTCTTAGTTTAAACACAGATTACAACAAATGCCAATTAGTGACTAATTCTCTTTAAAATCCTAATGCAAGCTCAAACCGAATGGAGCTAGGTCAAGCAGATGCCAAAAAAATCAGAATGTATGAATAGAAGAATGACATTAAAAACAAAAAGGAAAATAAAAGTATAGAATTAAACTTGCACATTAGTATATATTTAATTCTAGCTCAATGTATAATATAAAAATCGCCAATAGTATACATTTAATGTTGGAAAGCTACAAAACCGATTGGAAAAAGGTTCGCTTTTATTCCTAATAGCACAGAACACACAATTGTATGCATCTCTAAAATATATCAACTATACGAAACACAAGAGCCCCCTTCCAGCCAGCTGAATGCACAGCAGGTGCTGCCAAAATCAAATCTTTGTACAGTTGTCTTTGCTGACTTCACGCTTCAGGAATGCCAATAAGTCACTAAGGACAGCAAGTGAACAGCCCTTCTTTCACTATATGCCGTAGTCCCTTTGTCACTCACTTTGATGAGAAACTGCAATGTCATGTTATCACTTAGGCCTCATGCACACTGGAGGTTTTTTTCTGCAGCTCTTAGGGGGCATCTGGCTTTGTTTCCTGCCTCTAAACACCCCTACATGTCAGCCTATGTGTCCATTCACACATGGACCTTTAGAAGGGTTTAGAGGCAGGGCATTTATAGGCAGAAAAAAAAAAAAAACTGGCGCAGAAAAAAACTCTTCACGCCTGTAAATGTGCCTAAACGCATCACTCGTCAAGTGCTTGGACATTCATTCATTTCACGTGTTTCTAAGCATCAAGCATTTTTTTTCTGCCAAAACAATGCTGTCAGAAAGCAAGGCATCTAGGAGAGATAGCTACCCGAGACCTTAAAGTTGGATTAAAGCCTAACAAAAACTATCTGGAAAATGTCTGTTAAGCATATATGCGTACTGTCAGTGCGAACATGTTCATAGATTAACCTCTTACCCTCCAGAGGATTTTTCCTGATCAGATCATTTTTTGCGTTACTTGAACTGACAATTGCTCGGTCATGCAATGCCGCACCCAAATGAAATTTATGTCTTTTTTCCACATAAATAGAGCTTTCCTTTGGTGGTATTTGATCACCTGTGCGGTTTTTATTTTTTGTGCTATAAACAAAAAAAGACCGACAATTTTGAGAAAAAAAAATATATTTTTGACTTTTTGCTATAAAACATATCCAGTAAAATTTTTTTTAAAAATCTAATTTTGTCATAAATTTAGGGCAAATGTATTCTGCTACGTCTTTGCTAAAAAAAATCCCAATACGTGTAAATGAATTGGTTTACATGAAAGTTATAGCGTTTACAAATGGCGGTATATATACTGGATTTTTTTTTTTTTTACACTAGTATTGGCGGCGATCAGAGACTTACAGCGGGCATTCTGATACTGGGGGGAACTGACTTCGACTGCGATCAGTGCTTTCGTTCTCTTCTGAACGCGGCAAAATTCTGCATTCCTCTTTATTGGAAACAGGTGACTCCACCCCCAATTAGAGTGTGGCTTACCAAAATTGGAGTGGCTTCTGGTGGAAGTGACACCAGCATCTGTTGGCTCTGCTCCTGACGCCACTTCCACCGGAAGCACCAGGCTCACAAGGGAATAGTGAGCAAGTATAGTATGATATAAATACTGATGTAATGGTGCTGGTCCAGCACAGGAAAATTTGTGGGCTGCACACAAAGTAATAATTTTTTTTAAAGTTGATTGGTTTTTAATAGAGGGTTTTATGCTATTGGCGCTGTTTGTATCTTCCCTGTGGCACATATCTGGTATGGATTGCCTCCAAGGAGCAGGGCCCTCCTATCCCTCTTATATTGAACTGTATTGTTGCTGTATTGTCTCCCGTTATATTCTAAAGCGCTGAGCAAACTGTTGGCGCGATATAAATCCTGTATAATAATAATAATTGTCAGGTGATGACCTTGAGGTGGAGCAGTGAAGAGAACAGTCTGTCTACTTTGATTAAGCATTTGACTGTTTTTTTAACATAATGGGGTCAATATTGTCTGGTGAGTTCTCGAAGGTGTGGATGCGCGTGCATGGAGTAGAGGAATCACTGGGGACACTGTGTAAAAGTGTACTGTGGAGACACTGGACATAAAGCTGCAAATTTAAAAGGCACACAGCCAAAAACACATTATATTTTTTCTGAAGAAAGGACACGAAGCACTCTTGTGAATTAACTTTTATTCAGCACTGGACACTTTATAAGCATATTGAGTAGTATGAATTGATTTGTGTTTTAGTTATTAATTGGAATGCATTAAATTGGCGCTTTATTATTATTTACTACAGGTACTTATATAGCGCAGTCAATTTACGCAGCGCTTTACGTATGTATTGCACATTAACATCAGTCCCTAACCTTCAAGGGGTGTACAATCTAAGGTCCCTAACTTACATACACATACTAGGGCCAATTTAGACAGGATCCAAATAACCTACCAGCATGTCTTTGGAGTGTGGGAGGAAACCGGAGCATCCAGAGGAAACCTACGCAGTCATAGGGAGAACATGCAAACTCCAGGCATGTAGGGTTGGGATTCGAACCAACGTCCCTAGTACTGCAAGGTGGAAGTGCTAACCGTTTACACACTATGCTTTATTACCCACAAGCTCTGGAAGGTTTTACCCCCTTTATGACCAGGCCATCCTTTTTGCTATTCTGGACTGTACTACTGTAACTGGCAATTGCAGGGTCATGCAACACTGTACCCAAATGAAATGTGTATGTGTATGTACATACATATATATATATATACTGTATATATATATATATATATATAAAAACAATTTTATTTATTTATTTTTACACAAATAGAGCTTTCTTTTGGCGGTATTTGATCACTACTGAGTTTTTTTTTATCATATAAATAAAAAAAGACAGCACAAAAGACAGCACATTTAAAAAAAAACTATATTTTTTACTTTCTGCTATTAAACATATCCAATAAAATAAAATAAAAAAATTTCTTCATAAATTTAGGCCAAAATGTATTCTGCTACATATCTTTGGTTAAAAAAAAAAATCCCAATAAGTGTATATTGATTTGTTTGCGTGAGGGGTATAGCGTCTACAAACTGTGGTATAGACACTGGATTATTTTTTTATACTGCTAATTGTGGTGATCAGCAACTTAGAGTGGGACTGTGTGGTGGGAAATCGGATACTAACGGACACTGGGTGGGAACTGAGTAACTGATCTCTCCAGTGTCGCCAATACAATGATAATGCTATACACTGTCACTGTACTAATAGCACTGGCTGGGAAGATCTGTTAACATCTAGGGGCAATCAAAGGGTTAATTGTGTGCCTAACAATGTGTAATGTGTGCTGCTTTTACTAATAGATGAGGCTGTGTTTTCTCCCTGCTTTGCAAGGAGAAACACACAGCCATATCCCTGCTCTATGTGCAGAGCCCTGTGTTGTTAGTAAACACAGGGCTCTGTACGGTGGTTTGCTAAGCTGATCGGCAGGTCCCGGCCATAAATCCTTGCCCCGGACCTGCTAATCGAATTGTGCTGTAGCGAACAACTGCACAGATGGAGCGACAGGTGCGCAAATGCCCCCTACCCAGAAATGCTAGATCATGTACATTTATGTGATCCAGTGCAGCAGATGCCCAACCGCATTAGACAGGCAGTGGGTGGTCCGCAAGTGGTTAACTGTGTATGCTGTTAAATGTAAGCTGTCCATAGTAAACACAGGTTTTGCACAAGTTATCATCAGAAGGACTGAATTTGTATTTTTTTTTTTTATTGCTTATAAAGTCATCATGGACACTGGACGTTTTTATAGCAGCTGTTTTTGGCTTTTGGGGTTTTTTCTACAGCTCGTAAACCGCCCAGCATGGTATCCTATGTGTTCATGTACACATAGACTGTAATGAACAGTTTTTGGCATTTTTTGGCTGGAAAAAAAAAAAAAAAAAACAGGACTTGCGAGTTTCTAGAGGAGTTTTTTTTAGCTGTAAAAGTGCTCTAACTCTGTAAAACACAGGAAATCGCAGCAAACTGGCGTTTTTTGGACTTTTTTTGAGCAAAAAAAAATTTA